GTTGTGCTTTCTGAATTGTTATTTTGTTTTTTAGACTTGCATTTGCGTTTGTAATTTGTTATTTTGTTTTCAGAATTGTGATTTGTTTAGCACTTCTCGGTCACCGTACTTTTCACTGCTAAACAACACAAAATTGTTTATGCTCAGCAGGGGGCGCTAAATGTTTATTTCAGAATCTCCGTTCGTATGACACGAAGTTAAAATGGTTAAACTAACTAAATGACGGGAATGGTGAATGAAACTTCTAAACTCTAAACTTCTAAAATACAAAAATAGCTGCGTTTACGGTGGAATTGCAGTGCCTTGAGCTCTCACGGCCACCGTATACGTTCGCTCATAAAATACTTTTATAATCTCACAAAAAAGTCATTTTCGTTAAGCCGGTGGGAAAGCTCCAGTAGGCTACTGCATGTTGCTGGATTCATACCATTCTGATGGTTTAACTCCACAACAGCACATCAGAGGGGATCTAAAGCGGGACGGAATGGTTCTGCAGGCAAACAGTTTACAACTACAGGAGGGTAAACACATCATCCGTGGCAGCACTGCAATGGAGACTCCCCTTAGCATAACAACATTTGTCTGTGGAAAAACATCATAAGAATTACAAAACAATGAAATTAGCCATGGCTCTTTATAGTTACACTAAATTTTAGATGCAGTATTTCTCCGTTCCACCTTAAAAGTCTCAAATAAACCTGTATTTCTTTCCATTATTATTATAATTTTTTTGTTTCAACTGTTGTTTTTTAGTTTTGAATTTATTTGTGTAAAAATGTGCAGAATTATTTAATTTGTGGCATACATACTGATGATTAATTTGATCCTTTTTTAAATAACTACTTAAGATTGTTCATTAAATTTCCCAGAAATAAGTTCTGTTGTGATGTTAATGATTCGTCTCTGAGGATCTGTGCTGTGGGGAAGTGATGGCAATAGTTCACATCACATGGAAAACCTAGGGATCACAGGGGGCTATTTTCAAAGGCTTTTTTACTCCAAAGTGCACACTGGTATTCATCTCAGAGAGAACATGTGATGTCCACAATCATATCTTTGTAATTATGACCTGAAATGTAATTCGCTAACAAAGTTTTATGTTTTAGAAAGATGAAAGTAACCCCCATTACTCTCTCATCACATTAGATATGCCAATAATCAGTAATAACCAATTACAACCAATAATGGAAACCAAATCTACACCTTTAGATGTCTCAGAGGACAGGACGTCTGCTACAGGAAGTAATGTAGCCCCCAGAAGCATTGGGAGACAATTCAGCCCTATAGAGAAAACAACAAAGGCACATTGGGGAATAAACAGAGAAATTTACCCCTGTGAAATGTGTTGAAATTAATCTAAACAGTTCACTTGGGAGTAAGAAGCAGCAAAGAAGAAAGTTATGGACACGTAGGGTAGAGGGGCTTTCAAACTGGATGGGAACATAAGTGGAAAAGCCTTTTTTTCAATGCTCCACTTGCTTTTTTGTCTGATTAGACTTTTTTATTTTAATAGTTTATAGTCTCTCTTTCTTTCATTCACTTTCTACTCTGTATGCAAGGTATACATTAAAATTCGTTTTTTAGTCTATTTCTAAACATATCTGACATCATTTGTTTTCCTGATAAAGCAAGCCTCTTAATTGTTATAGTTTTGAAGTGGGGAATTCTGCCCTACCTTTTCCATTTTCCTCCCCTGGCCGAGGATTTCTGCTGGTGTCTGCAGAAGGAAAGAGATCAAGGTATCAAACTATTCATACAGCATTCGTGGCATTTGGTTACTTGTCTTGTGTCTTGTATTTATCTGTAATGCTACATACGGGAGACACTGAATCCAAAAACCCCTTCATATTCTTTCATGAGTCTCCTCAACAGGGTGCTTTTCCCAGCTCCTGATGGGCCACTCAGAACTACAGGCCTGGGTCCTGACATTTCTCTGTGAGACAATCAAAACAGGTGCATTAAAGTGTATGTGAGATGTTTAAGTTTTTTGGTAATTAAATCCACAAACCAATGCAACACACTTTTTTTTAACGAGTTGCAGGTCTGTTCTAATAGGGTTGTAGATAGCAGGGAAATGTTTTAAATGTGCGCTCTTGGTCAAAAGTTGCAGTAAAAACAGTAATATTGTGAAATATTATGACAATTTAAAATACAACTGTTTTAGCATTTTTATTATCATGAATGTTGAAAACCGTTGTGCTGATTAATATTTTTTATGGAAACTTTTTTTCAGGATTCTTTGATGAATAAAAAGTGCAAAAGAAGAGTAGTTAATTAAAAGAAATGTTTTGTAACATTATACATGTCTTTACTGTCACATTTGGTCAATTTAATGCCAAAAATAAAAGGTAGTGTAATTTAATGCAGTTAGGACAGCAAAATAAAAAAGCATATCAACAAAGCAGGTGAAATGCTGAAATGCAGATGCCAATACGGACAGGTTGCGTGACATGACTTCATCCTCAAAAACACAAACAATGTAAAAGAAAATGTAAAATAGACTATACACATTAAATACAGGTTCGCTTGCAACGAGGACGAGACCATGAAACCATAATAATTCAAGAGAGATTTAGATTTAGAGCTACATGGTACTACATTCTGACATAAAGTGTTAGAAAATACATATTTTAAGTGTAATTTCTACTTAAATCATACATAAAAGTCTTTATTATTCAATCACAACAAATAAAAACCTTCCATATTGAACATGGATTAGGTCAAGTAGGAAGCTTTGGTCTTGGTGCCCAGCTGAGAGAGAGAGAGAGAGAGAGAGAGAGTGCTATAAACTAGAGAAGCTGACATGGGCAGACACTGAGCCCATTGCACGCCTGCGTCTCTCCAAGAGAGAAGCTCAGGAACTAATCCACTGATCCGAGTGATTAGTGATTCTGTTTTGAGGTCTGTGGGTCTTGTAATAAAGAACAGGGCACCTATTTCCTGACTAAGAAACTTTTATTTATTTCTTTATTTTTATTTTTTGTCAAAGTAACTTTAAAATGTTAAATGTGTTGCTGATGTTCCAGCTGGCTCAGAACAGATAAAAAATGTTCTTTTGTGAATTTTTACAAATTCAATTTATTGAAGAGTCTGTCTCTTTCACAATAATGCAATTTAGCAAAGCATTTGTAAAGTGCCATGAAAATATCTTAATGAAGTCAGGTTAGGCCAGTGAAGAGGATTACCCAGCATGTAAGCCAAATGACAAAGGCCCAGTGACCTGATGCCTGTCTTAATGTTTTCTACAATGTCTGTCTGGAATCATGTCTGGTTCATTTTTTAGGGACTCTGCTGGAGACTAGACCAACCAACTGGACACACAATCTGATCAGGGAAAACTCTAGAAAAAAAAATATACAGTTGCCTCCTATGAGTTCGTTGTTGGCTGTTTTCTGTTTATTTTATCAAATATCCCTGATTAAATATTTTGGCTACTGTATGTTCCAGTGTTTCTGTCTCAACATTGTCTTAAGATGATGATAAAGAATTAAAAAAAATATATATATATAAAGTATATTTAATGTGTGCTTATATTTTCAAGACAATATGGAATTTCAAAACTAAAATTCACTGTCAAATGTATTATATATAATATTTTAATGATAGTTGAAAATTAAATTAAAAACAAATTAATGTGCTTCTGCAAATTAAAGAAATAAAGATCCAATATGTGTGTCCAGTATATTCTTTTTAGATTGATCACATTTCATCCATGTTTAATAACAAAACCTTCTTATCATGAGACAGTCTTGCCTATAGTTCCATTTACATTACAATAAACCATAAATTTTGACCTCTAATTTTTGAACACCAGGAAAAAAAAAAGCAAAGACAGATCTTACCTTGTCTGTGCAGGTTAGATGGTGAAGTGAGTATGTGTGTGTGTGTGTGTTTCTATCTCACTGACACAGTTTACTGCCAGTGACAATTACCACCTCCTCCGTTTACTGAGCCAATCAAATTGCTGCTCGTGTGTATCTGTTGTTATGACAGAGATAAGTAGTTACTAATCATACTAAATTTTGAAAAGCCATAATCAATTGTTTTTTTTCTGAGAAATAATGGTGAAAATGTTCAAAAGCTTTTTGTAGTCAAGACTTATGTCCATATTAACACCAGCCTGAGAAATGTTCAATATATAACTATATACTGTTTATATATATATATATACCTACAGTATATAACTAAAAAGTGCGACAACTAGCCCCAGTCTATCCTGTAATGCATTGTAAATCATCTAAATAGGGCAAAACTCAAATTATATAATATTTTTTGTCAATTATAAATGGAAATATAAAAATAAATGATGCTCAAACTATGCTACAAAATTGTCTATGCATATATTTTCAAGCAATATGGAATTTTACTAAACCAAAATTCACCATCAAATTTGATTTATCAAAAAAAAAAAAAAAAAAAAAAAAAATAATTAAAAGTTATGAAAAGATGCATGTTTATTAACACATCAAACAAACACATTCAGCAACATATTTAACATACAGTCTATACAATCAGTCAAATCTGTTTACTCAATTCATGCATGTGTACAATTCAAAACAGCTGATAGAACATGTTGTGTTGACATTCATATATATATATATACTAAGAATGTGCTGAATAATAATTATTAAAATGATATTATTGATATTAAATTATCATACAATATCATACAATGCATAGTCAGCTAAAATGTTATTTAAAGATGTATTTGGGAGACAAATGTTATTTAAAGGCTCTGAGAAATACAAATAGATTCACTGAGCCGAATCAAACAACAATAATAATTTTGTCAAATAAAATAAAAAATTTGTCCATAAGTCTCCATAGAGTGTCCAAAAAGTTTGGTCTGCTAAGGTATCCCTTGCAAAGTGTCCAAAAAAATAATTTCATTTGGGTTGCTGGGGCTGGAAGTGTAAATATAATTTTTGGTCACATTTGGGTTTTGAAGTAAAATACACTGTGAGAGTAGTGCAGCAGTTAACTTCCTTTTGCATTAGACACAAGGCTAGGCTAATCCAACACTAACCTAATTCCACACAGATGAGTGTCTGTATAGTGCTGCTAATTAGAGATATGTCAGGACATCAGTCTCAGACATCCTTTTATCAGGTCATTCATTACAGTCATCTTTAAGAATGGCTGAAACGAACCAAGTGGTGTTAAGATACTTATGATGCAATAAACAAACTGAAAAGAAAGAGGAAATGCTGATTATTTATTGTACCTGCTACTGTTTCATCTCAAACCATAGAGGTACAGGCAATGTCAGTGCCATAGGTTTGATTCCCAGGGAATACAGTACATTAACTGATTAAATTTATGCAATGTAAGTACTGTAGCTTTGGATAAAATGACAGTAAAATGCATAACTGTACTTCCAAATAGGTCCAGCTCCACATTTGGAGCCTGGTGCTGAAAACAATGACATTTGTTAGACAACAACTTTAGTTTATTTTTTGTCAAAGAAAAACAGATGAGTCTGTACAAAATACATCATCATAAAACAAAGCTGGTTTTATGTTTCATTCTATTTCAGTTCTATCAAAAGTGCTTCACGATCTTTCAGTTACCTGTAGTAACTTGACTAGAGTAACAAAACTATTGCTAAAATACCACAAAGCAAATTGAATTCCTTTTCGGTTAGTTCTGAGCTTAGTTCCTTGAGTCATATTGTCATAACCTAGAGTGACTCAGTGTCAACAGACCTTTATTCTGCTTGGCAGTGGAGAGGAGTGAAGGCTAAGCAGAGATCAACCTCAGCGTCCATATCCTGCATTAAGAATCAATTCCACCTGCTAATGGAGGGAAGCACGTGCTCTTCGATGCAGCTCTGCTGTACAGTACATATCAATACAATAACCTGCCAATCACCTGTTAGGGGTTAAATATTAATTCATTACAAGAAAGTAGACAATTACATCTACACAGCATCTTAAAAGTTGAAGTAGAAGAGCAAAAAAAGTCAAAAATATACAGGGAACTACTTCAACTCAGAATATCTGTTGCTGAACCTTGTAGTCAAAACTATTTTTATTTATGCGTGAACTGTTTGATAAAATTAGCACTTTTTGAATCTACAAACCTTGTGAGAATGGCTTTGTAATTTTGCATCATATTCAGTCTCTTGCCTTTGAGATTTTATGCATGCTAAGGATAAGGGGATAATGAGACAAAAATTCATAATAAAAACAATTACACTACTGTATATCACCTGTGTAACAGCTGAAATGATAATTTATCTTAAACCATATTTAAAGGATCCCATTCAATATTAAATTACAATTATATAAGTATGGAAAATGAATGTACAAGATTCTTTGCTTTTTTGCACATTCTACTCAAAACACAGTTTATGAATGATTTAAAAGTTAACTGCTTACCATTTCAGATATCAGCACTGCTAGATCCAAATCTTCAGAACTCTTCAGTGTAAACATTCACAAAACTTGCTTTAGAGCTTTCTTAATGAGAATAACTTAACAAGGTTTTATACATAGAAACAACATTTTGTGATCAGTTTTACTGTCCTTACAATACTGTTACGGCAGATTTGTACTTTAAAACTTTACCATTTCATTAAGAAATGAACACAGTGGTCTTCATGTAACTGGGTTGCATTCCGACAGGAACTTTTGGGCAATGACTCTGTTGGGCAAGACGTCCTCGAAGTTTTGCATCGGCCCAGAAAGATTCTCCTCAGTAAAAGTGATCCGTTTGTGTAGAGTGCAAACAGGCAGATGACAGGACAGCTGTAACTCTTCACAAATACACTCGTCTCAGGTCCCCGGGTGAGGTGATAGTGTTGCACTGTGGACACAGTTTCTTGGCTCCCTGCAGGAATGAGGGACCAATCAAGATCATTTAACAATCAAAAACAACATAAAGAGTTCACTTGTTGAAGTCACACGGTTGTGCAGGAAATCTTTTGTTAAGTACAGTATGATACATGTTCATCTCACCAGGGTGCGAAGCCAGCATTCCTCACAGTGGACATGCCAGCACTGGATGGAGGTCAGAGGTACTGTGTAGGAGTCCTGAAGGACATATAGGAGTATATGTACACAATAAAATTACATGCATAAGAAAAATGTATTTTTCTGTTTTCATCATTGATAATAATAAGACACCTTTATTGAGAACCAAATGAGCATATTGCAATGATTTCTGAAGAAGCATGTGACACTGAAGACTGGAGCAAAGGCTGCTTAAATTCATCTTTGCCATATAAATTACATTTTAAAACATATTAAAATAGAAAAAAGTTATTTGCATTGTAATAATAGTCAAGTCACTTTTATTTGTATAGCGCTTTATACAATACTGATTGTGTCAAAGCAGCTTTACAGTGTCAAACAGGAAAATAGTTGGTCAATAATGCAAGAAGACAATAACAAAGAGTCATTTTACAGCTAAAGTCAGTTCATTGATGATTCAGTGATGTCATCAACCAGTTCAGCTCTCTTCCAATAGTGTCTGTGCAATCAGTCAAGCGTCCCCAACTAAGCAAGCCAAAGCAAGCCTAATAATATTTTATGATATTACTGTTTTAACTCTATTTTTGATTACATAAATGCAGCCTTGTAGAGCATAAGAGACTTCTTTCCAAAACTTAAAAAAATATATTACTGACCCAGAACATTTGAATAGTAATGTCTACATAATTAATATATATTAATATGAATATAAAGTACACATCTAATTAAATAATTGCAATTAACAATTTTTTAAAATCCTTTTTGAATAAATATGCACGGTCAAGCTTACCATGCAGATGAGACACTTGAATCTGTCCCCTCGTGTGAGCTGCTTCTCCAGATCTCTGATCCGTGTTTTCAGGGCCTCCAGTGTAGTGAGGGAGGGGTCATCCGGTAAGCTAAATGACACAAAGAACAAATCCATCAGAGATTGATTAGAGAGTCACAGCGTGCTGAGGGCTTTGTCGCTGAAGGCCACATTATGAATTCTAAATTACACATGAACGGTAATCAGAAGACAGCTTGCATCATTAAATGAGGTGCATTCAGAAGCAAATTCAACATTGTAATACATGAGAGTCAGCATTCCTATTGTAATGCCATATTGAACAGTAAAAATGAAGAGCATACACTGAATGCATATGTCTATGTTCAAGTAAATGGATGCGAAATGTGATTGGTTAGCCATAAGAGATAATCAAAGAAAAGACAAAAAAGGTCCTACAGAAATTTGTAGTAACAATACAATTCCAAAAGCTTTTATTGTGGGCAAAAACAGTCTAAGATGGCCCCTTGTATCGGCCCTTCCCACAGCAGGTGAGGGACAGACATGTCACTGCAGTGTGCAAACATTGTCTCAGTGTAATTGCTTTATTAGTGTGTCCACACAGGGCCGGGCAGCAAGCGCCCCGCAGCGCACTGTCATTTGTCAGGAACGGTCCTCCTTCCCGCCTCACTAACCCTTCCTCACTCAAGTGTTTCCACTTCACCACAATTAAATAACACTCGCTCAGAGCCCCCTAATCCCTGGTAGGAGCATCCTGCCCAAGGCATTCCCATTTAATCAGCTCTCAGGAATTGAACTATGACAGCAGGGGGTTTAAGTGATCCATCAAAAATGCCTCATGTAATCACCTCCAAATATAAGCATAATGAATGCTGGTTTTTCTCTTGTAGCTGTCTGGTGGAAATATGAAATAACTGCCCTTGTCCTCAGGCTAAATACCTATTGGAGAGGGGTGATGGATCAGGTACAAAAATATGCTGCAAAACAGAAATCCTACACAAGTACATACCTAATATATTTAAATATCCATTATATTAATATGATATTATATTTAATATAAAATTTAACACACACACATATATATATTTTGTGTGTGTGTGACAGAGAGAGAGAAAAGTCTTGTAATTTTGATAGTGATGAACTTCTCTAATCTGTGGGTGGACATGTAAATACGTACAAATCACTCGCACATAATACATTTAGAATAATTACATTTAGAAAAAGTATTTCATTGTTTCTCTGCAATCTGACACTCCTCGACTGAAAAATGGATCAATCATGCTTATTAATGATTCATTCCAAAACATAAGTCAAACACGCTTCAGTGGACCTGCCAAAATGTAGCCCCGTTGAGAAAGAACTGATTTGTGTGACTCTTATTGAATGGGTCAGCCATATATAATAAAGAAGTTAAAACTTCCCAAAAGGATTTAAGAAGTGCTGTATCATGATCCTGCAGAGATCTCTTCCAAGAAAATGACATGGATGTTGGAGAGGAGAAGGACGAAGGAGAGTGGGTGGAGGCGCTTGAATCTTAACCTACGTGTATTTCCCATATGAGCATCACAGCTAAGAGTGTCTGGAATACATGCACAAACCACAAACCACAGCTCCAACAGTATTTGCATATCAATTAAATCAATTAGGTTTGATTTCAAACAATTGCCATTTCGATAGCTTTGCTGTTGTGTTACTTTGAGGAAAATGTCAGTTTTGTAATGAGCAAAAGTTTTATAACAAGTATTAAATAATGCATTAAAAAATGTGCATTAAAGTCACGATTAAACAGAAGTAGGGACAGATCCTTTCTTTGTATTGTGATTTAAAATATTACAAATGAAATTTGCATGAATGAATAGTTCACAATAAGATGTATAACTTACGTTTAGAAAATAGGATGAATTTTCATTTCATGCCGACTTTAAAGGAATATTTCACCCAAAAATGAAAATTACCCTATGATTTACTCACTCTCAAGCCATCCTAGGTGTTTATGACTTTCTTCTTTCAGACGAATCCAATAGGAATTTTATCTTCCAAGCTTTATAATGGCAGTTAGTGGTAGAGGTCTGCATGGGCTTTAAACTGAAGCCCGACCTGTACCCGAGATCACCCGACCCGACCCGACCCGAGCGGCACAGTTAAATTTAGAGCCCGAACCCGACCCGAACACGAAATCTTTTTTTTTTTTCTTCCACAAGGAATAGCCAATTTAAAAAAATGCTGTATTTCACGATTGCATGCAACGGTCAGTAAACAAACAGCATCATTAAGGTTCGGCCAGTTCACAAAGCAAAAGAAAAAACACTTACCAGTTATTAAAGTTTATGAACATCAGGTGCAGCGGTCACATAAATTCTGCCGAGACTTCAAAAACCCTCACTGCAGAGAAAAATAACGTTGCGAGTCAGTAGCTTGTCGAAGCTATTTTACTAATAAAAGTTTCCGTGCTGTGTTGTCGTGTGCAATAATGTGTGTGCTTGCGTCTATTAAAGCAGCGTAGCCTACTGCATATAGTTTTAGTTTAGCTATAAACCCGAGGCCTCCTGTAGCGAATCGATGCGTTTTTGTAAGAAAAAAAATCCTTATTAAAAATTGTATAAACAGTAATCTCTAGCATCCGCTAACTGTCAAATGCGCGTTTGACGTAGGACGTAGGCATAGCATAAGGTCCGGTGAGAATATGCTAGTCTTGCTAGAACCAGTGTTTGTTTACAGGAGCAAAGGAAGAAAAGTTTCCTTACTTTAGCAAAGGAAAACCAGTCTCCTCTTGACTTATATCGAAATCTTCATTTTGTACTTCTAATTCATGACCAGTGTTTTGTTTTTGAGCTTCCGCATTCATCACGCAGAATCAACGGGGAAATCGCGCGGCGGCGGGACATGCTTTTACATCAATGAGAGGTGGTGTACAGATGTAACGGTGTTAAAGAAGATGTGCTGTTCAGATCTAGAAGTGCTCTTCATTAATTGCAAGCCGTTCTATTCTCTGCATCACTGTCCTGATGTTCTTTCAATGTGCTGCTCACCAAACCTTAAGACATTTGACATGAGGATTCATTAAATGACAAAAAAACAAAAGCCTTACAGAACAAGAGTGCCAAAGGAATAGAGAGTGTGAAATTCAAAAATGTCTCTGTTTTTGACCCGTCTAAATGCTTTTACAGTAATCTCCTTCTCATGAGGTTAACACCACTACCATTATCTCACATGTCTGTTGTGAACTAATCACATACACACACACATACACACACACACATACACAAGTTCTGTTGCAAAACTAAGTGAGCTTGCTGTTTACATAATACATAGGCGTTCACTCAAGCTCATAAGCAACCGATTTGGGAATGCTGTGCATTGGCATTAACTCTACAAATAGACTTACCTTTTGCATTCGATTTCAATAGATTATTACTCTATTTAGCATAATGCCAAGCTTACATAAAATATATAAAATACTATTTCAGTCTTTCTACTTCAAATTTCAAATTTAATTCAATGTTTTACTTGACTTTTCTTTGTAATTACTTGTGGAATTTACTAGCAATTTCTGAGTGAAAATTGTTTTAAAGTAAATACTACACATTTATTTCAGTGTAGCACATTTGGAGATTGGATTAAATAATCTGTTTTTAGTTGCACTGATTGTTTATAGATACATTTTAGTATTGCATTTTTTTTTCACTGAATTTGTCACAATGCATAATAGGACTAAAGTTCTTCACTCTAGACAGTTTTGTAGGTTTTGGGACGCAACAACTGATTTCAAGTGGCTTTTTTATTATACATTATGATTTCTTAAGATATTTATTTTTCTAATCTGATACCTGACTCCAATCTGACGACTTATAAATATGGATTGATTTATAGGGATGTACTGTATTTGAGTGTTTGGTGTGTAGATAAATTACTATGAAGTGTTTGTGTTTTGTACCTCTGAAGCCTCTGAGAACAGAAACCATCTGTATTCTTCTCTGTTCGGCCCATTCAAACTCCCTCCCGGCTGACAGCACATCTTCAACAACACACACGCTGTCTCTCTGTAGAAAACACACACATATCAGTATCTCTGGTGAAAATGTCTGCATCAGCCTCAAGACAACACTTTCATTTGCTACCTGTCCTGAATGCCCTCTTGGCATTAGGTCACAGCTGAAAGGAACAGAAAATAAAAAGAAACATTTCACATGCAGGTTTAGAGTTTGTCTGATCCTTCTGGCCACATCTACCCGTCTTATACATCATACGACTGACTTAGCAGAACAGGACAGCTGACGCCTATCTCATGCTGCCTGTCAGTACAGACATCACAAACAGTCTGTGATCTGTCAGTGAAAGCAGATCTAGAGAAAATACTGACTACAGGGGACGGAAGGTTCATTGTTTTGAATGAAACCTTTAAACATATGCACAATGAGAAATAAGCTGCATGTTCATCATACCTGGTCTTCCCCTGCTTTCCGTCTTTTCAGTTTCCCAATACGTGCTGTAAAAAAAAAAAAAAAAAAACGAAAAAATGAAACAAAACAGCTGATTTTTTTTTAACTTTTTCTCGAAACTTTTCATGTTGTTATCTAAAAATATGAAGCATAAATACATTAGATTTTTCTCCAGTGGCAGTTTTATGATGGAAATATATACAATCTCTAGCTGACATAAACTGATAAGACAGAAAGGCCTCTATGGCCTACAAAACATAAATAAATGGCATGGGAATTGGACTGATCTGTTTATCTGATTATAAAATAAAGACAAATAAAAGATTTCCAGAATTCTCTGCATCTCCTTCTCTTGAACACACACACAGAAGAAGTCAAATTCAGCATTGTAGAATGGTATCCACCACTCTATTAAAATCTCTGTGTTTTGCTGAGCTGCTATTGATGTTAAGGGACATTAATCTTTAGGAGCCTCAGTTCATAATATAGTCAAAGTAGACAGTAGAAACAGAGCTGAGGGCATTACAATCACAATGAAGCTGAGTATAACGGAGAGGGGATCATTAATTAGAGAGACAATCTGATCAATTAGCTGTGACCAATCGTTCAGTGCACCTTTTTTAGATGTTAATGAAATAACATAAAAATTAACAGTCCTGATAAATGATCGAAAATTCAACATGATAGAGTATCAATATTTCACAGTACAGAGATTCAATACTCTGTGTATTACTGTGCCAAGGGCATAATATTACATTAAATACTATATAATTTTCACCGTCTCATTCTACATCTGCAGAAAATGATTCTACAGTCATTTTCTCCTTTAAGATTATTTTTAGTAAGTGCTGATTGGTATTCTAGATATTTAAATTTAAATACCTCATTTTACTAAATAAAATAATAAAATGTTGGTACTGTATCTGCAGTTATGTGCCGTGTGTGGAGAACAGCTTACCAGACAGTGGGCAAGAGGACACATGTGGGAATCCACAGTCAGGCCAATCATGAACAGATTTCACTTTCTGTTTGGCGTAGCACCTGCACCAGCAGAGCTCCTTAACTGTTAACATATCAAAAGGTTAAAGGTCAATAATCTGCTCTGCTCGTGAGGGTGCTAGGTCAAAAGTCAGGGGTGGGGCTTTAACTGTGACTGTTCAAACTGTAAGTGAAAGTATACCAGTGCTGTCTTGTTTATAATAATTACAAAATATCAGTTTCAAAGATCAAAGAATGTGTTTTTAGGGAATAAAACTCATTTTTGTATTAATCATCAGGAGATTCATGAATTTGGTCAGATCCAAGCTCTTAATGCACGCTTATGACCCTGCATAGGAAATGACTGAATGAAAAAACAGAGAAATACAGTACAGGGAGAATATTTTGAGATACTGAAAGTCATTGACAACATACCATTGAGTCTTGTTTGCCTGTTTGCTTGTACTCGCAAAAATGTCTGAAATGAAAGAAGAGAAAAAGAAAAGGGACTCTTCAGTATCCATAATCACACAATTTTTATTTATTTTTTTTAAGAATGGGCCTTTAAGCCATCATAAGAATTTGTTCTCACTGAATATCGAGTGAACCCAGCAATTCATGCTGACTTTAATTCAGGTATAACTTGAAATGTTTTAATGCTAATGACTCCCAAATCTGACCATACACTGCAAACTAAAATATAAAGACCAATTTATACTATAGTAAGTGTGATATTCTAAGGACAGCATTATCTGTAAAATAATAAGTGATTTTTATACTGGCATGGCACTAAAGCCGAAATAAATTATTAAAATATTATGTGATCAACATATACTTTGTTAGTTTTTGTTTTTCTACTTGCTATTAGATTGGTCAAATTATTATTATTATTTTTTTAAAGAAACATTTTAAATTATATATAAATATGTAAATTTTAGATTTTATAACTTAGAAATTAAATAATACATTTGTCAATAATTAGGAAGCAGAATGAAATTATAATGTCAAAATTTAGCACACAGTGCCTTGTTTAAGAACATAAATATATATTTTTAATTACATTAACGTCCAGTAGATGGCAGCACTGTACTGAGGTCTGTCTCAATCTTTTGATTGACACGTAGTTTAGGAACGGATCCACAAATTTTGTTTGATTCCACCTGTAATTGTTAAAGTTCAATATGCTCCATAAGAGACGTGCAAGCTAATGCAGCTAGATGTATATAATATGTATTTTGTGCTCACCTGGTACCTGTCAGAGTGCACAGCCTCGTCAGCGGGACGTGGAGAGGAGGCAGAGGAGGAACCCTCTCTCTTTATATGCATTGAGAACAGAGACTGAGAGAGGTAGAGTGGTTATTATTGCCTGTAGACATAAATAAATTGTATATAACAAGTGTTGTGAAGTACATTGGAGAGTATGTACCTTAGGCGGACCAGCAGCGAGACACTCCTTTTGAGCGGGACCCTGACTGTAAACAGAAGAGTGTTATTAACACATATTTCATCACCACAATCCCATTACCAACAAACCTCTGCCTTGTTTTAAACACAAAACTTGAACCAGAATATGCAAACATGCTTGGAAACGAGGGATCAGGTTGCATATTGTTCTCAATCTACATTTCCTTCACAGTCAAACAAAAATAATGTATAAAAAGCTCTCTCCACTCAGGTCCTGTAAAGCAGGAAGGCTCTAACATAACGCACCCTGGGGCCGAGTTCAATTTGACACAATTACTGTCCACAGCTCTGTCACTAAGCAGATTATGGCTATAATTTCTTTATTGGAGAAATCCTTCATGTGTTCAGAGTGGCTAATGTGCCTCCCTGCCTCGTCTGATGCTGATAGCAAACGTTGAGGAAATGCGTTATTAGCTTGCTGTGATTTTCGCAGGGACTGCCTTGAGCTTGACTGGCTGTGAAATGTCAGGAACAATGTAACAGCTTGTAATTTGTGATGTTGCAATGATGGAGGAGACAGAGGAGAAGGGTGGAGGCATGGTGCACATGCCCGGAGGCTGTAGATAAATATGCCATCAAGACCTGGAAGCATTTAATGTGCCTTTGGAAGGGACAGGCTACAGGGAGGAGGTGTCAGGGAGTTTGTGTGCATCTATATGTGTGTGTACATATTCATTGGCTCAATCTGCTTTAATTCTGCCCTTCCTCCATCTCTCCTGCTCTTGTCTCCAGTTTTGATCTCTTTACTATGGGCAGCGATGCATTTTCATGAGCCTGGATGAAATTTGAGTAAGAGTGACAGAAGAGCATGCTGACTGTCAGCGGCACTTTACTGTCTATGTGCTCCGGCCGACACAAAGAGACTGAGGCAGTTCAAAAAAATCAAATCAACTCTCGACTGATCAGCTGATGATCTCAGATTGAGCTGGATGGATGGAAAAACAAAAGAAGACATGAGCGAAGCAGAGGGAGGTTGATAGATTATTGATTGTCTCAGTCATTATATGGATTGTATCATGTTCATTACAGAGGAACATGACAGGTTTCATTTTTGTCGTCTCCATGAGAATTGGAGGTGAAGAATGAGGTGGAAAAGAGTGTGATAGCAGATAGCATTGGGATTTATTTATTTAAATGTTAAATAAAACTAGCATTAATAAAATAAAAATAATAAAAAATAAAATAAATTATTGAATTTATATTACGCTCCAGCATCCCCGCAACCAAGTCGTTTGAAGTATTAATGGTTGGGAGGATTTATTTCTATATGGTTAGCATAAGTAACTAAGCAAGTAAATAAAATTTTTTTTTTAAGTTATTTATTTATATATTTTTTTAAATTAGGATTTTAGATTATGATGAAAATTGGGACAACATTTGGATATTATATTATTTTTATAGTTTTTTTTTTCTTAATTTTCTTTTAGATTTTTCAATTTAAATAATTAAATATTAGATATTAATATATTAATGTTAAATTAAAATGTATTCATTTCTTTCTAAATGGTTTACAAAAACAAAAAAACAGACAAATAAAGTTATTGTTTGAATTTTCTTAGGCATTTTTTTATTATAACAACAAAATGGATTGAAAAATTGGGTCAGCATTGGGATACTCTCGATTTAAGTATTTAATTTAAATTAAAAAAATGCTAAATATAATAATAAACAATGTTAAATAACTCCCTGCCTCGTCTGATGCTGATAGCAAACGTTGAGGAAATGCGTTATTAGCTTGCTGTGATTTTCGCAGGGACTGCCTTGAGCTTGACTGGCTGTGAAATGTCAGGAACAATGTAACAGCTTGTAATTTGTGATGTTGCAATGATGGAGGAGACAGAGGAGAAGGGTGGAGGCATGGTGCACATGCCCGGAGGCTGTAGATAAATATGCCATCAAGACCTGGAAGCATTTAATGTGCCTTTGGAAGGGACAGGCTACAGGGAGGAGGTGTCAGGGAGTTTGTGTGCGTATGTATGTGTGTGTGCGTGTTCAGAGTCTCAATCTGCTTTAATTCTGCCCTTCCTCCATCTCTCCTGTTCTTGTCTCCAGTTTTGATCTCTTTACTATGGGCGGCGATGCATTTTCATGAGCCTGGATGAGATTTGAGTAAGAGTGACAGAAGAGCATGCTGACTGTCAGCGGCACTTTACTGTCTACATGCTCCGGCCGACGCAAAGAGACTGAGGCAGTTAAAAAAAAATCAAATCAACCCTCGACTGACGATCTCAGATGAGCTGGATGGACGGAAAAACAAAAGAAGACATGAGTGAAGCAGAGGGAGGTTGATAGATTATTGATCGTCTCAGTCATTATATGGATTGTATCATGTTCATTACAGAGGAACATGTCAGGTTTCCTCTGTAAAAGACTGTCATAGCAGACAGCACTGGGATACTCTATTTATTTATTTATTTACTTAAATAAATAAATACATTTTAAATAAAACAAGTATTAATAAAATAAAAATAATAAGATAAATTATTCGCATTTATATTATGCTCCAGCATTCCCGCAACACAGCAGTTTGAAGAAATACGGCAATGACTGGAAAGATTTATTTATAAATAAATAAATAAAAAGTTATTGTTTGATTTTTATTAGGATTTTTGATTAGGCAACAAAATACATTCAAGAACCACAAAAATTGCGACACCATTGGGATAGTATATAATTTTTTTTTTAAAGATTTTTTTTAGATTTTTCAATTTAAATAATTAAATGTTAGATAATAATGTATTTGTGATCAAATAAAATGTATTTCTTGCTTTCTAAATGATTTACATAAACAAACAAAAAAAACGAACAAAAACAAACAATCAAACAAATAAATTACAAAAAAAAAAAACATTCAAGAACCACAAAAATTGGGTCAGCATTGGGATATTCTCGATTTAAGTACTTGATTCAAATAAATAAATGTTAAATACAATTTTATTTATTATAAATAAAACAAAATGCATTCATTTCTACATATAACGAATAAATAAATAAATAAATAAAAATTAAAAGACTGCTTCAAGTGTGTGTCAAGAATGAATTGGACAATGTACCTTTTGTGCAGCTGCATTAGACGCTCCATTTCATGCTCCATGTGTTCTTGCAGCTCTCCTGGCCGCAGCACAGCATGACAGATTGGACACATGGGCGTCTGAGTGTCATACAGGGCCTTCACTTTACCTGGAGACATAGGTGACAGAGGGACACACAAAAAAGACATGCTTTATTATTATAATCCTTCAATGAGCAACAAAGAGAATTCTTTACAATGATAAAAATCATCTAGTCCAGGCAGATGTGTCACATAAATGAAGCTCATCAACATGACAGTGGAAACATCGAGTAGCAATACCTGTCTTATAGCGAGGCCATCACAGGCTAACAAGTGGCCAGATGAAAGCAAATAGATCTGAATAAAACATGGATCTGCATGTAAACGTCACCTGGAGCCATGACCTTGAGAAAGTGACAGTCGGCCCCCTTGTGAGTCCCCTCTCTTTTAAATTTCATCTATGGTACATCTCAAATAAATTCACTGACAAGTACTAACTGCTTGCATCTCTGCCTAAAGGCAACCAACATCAGTAAACAATGAAATCCCATGGCTGAAATTGAATTTATAACCACATTACCTGCACAGATAACGTCAGCAAATAGCATGATGATAAAAGGAATTTGATTTGATTCTGGGACGAGCATGCCTTTTTTCCCTCCTCCTGCTGAAGGGACTCTCATTGGGGGAATTTGAGAGAAATTAAAAAATAATAATAATAAGGTAATTTTAAACCTTAACATGGATACACTGCCTTAATTAATATACATAGAAAAACCTAAACCAAGGTGTAGTTAAAATCAACTGCTTAAATCAAGTAAAAAAAGAAAAGACAGTTCTATTAATTTGGTAATTCTGTTATTTATGTTGCATCATAAATGCCTATAATGCTAAAGTTTTGATAAATAGTTTTTTTCCCCATACTGTTTGTTTTAAACTTTAATTAATTAAATTTACACTGCCATTTAAATGTTTGGGGTTGGCTAGATTTTTAATGATTTTGAAGTCTCTTATGCTCACCAAGTCTGCATTTATTTGATCAAAAATACAGTAAATATTGTGTAATATAATTAAATATAACAATTTTAAAAAACAACTGTAGAGGTATGCAAATACATACGTTGACAAGCAGGTAGGACAGCCTATCGTAGCCCTCGGACTGAACAATATGATTGGACTAACTTTTTATGGTCCTGCGCCTTCCACAGACAATTTAAATACATATAAATACATTTAGACCACTTAACTTAGTGATTGCTATCAGGATGTGAAGAGACTTTCAACCAGCATAACAAAAAATGTTTTTGAACCAAATCGCCTACCCTGCATTTAAACCCAAACTTTTGAATGATAGTGTACTTAAAATAAAAAAGAAATGTTAACATACTCCTAACAAAAAGAAAAAAAAAGTAATGAAAATTAACAGAAAATTACTCTGAAAGTAAAAAAAAAAAATGTGCATTTTACTTTGGAATGTCACAAGAAAACAGGCAATCATCATCCTCAGACGGTCCCATAGCATTTTTCACCAAGTTATAGGATGACTGCACATGCCAACATCCATATGACAACTGCCACCGTCATGATGGGAGACGAATTGTGAGACGGCCATGAACTGACCTTTCCAAAATGCCACATTTCATCCTGGCTTTCTGTCACATTACGACAATATGTCACAAGCCTGAAAAATACAATACTAGAGGCTTATATTTCACAGAGCCACATGCAAAGGGGTAAACAGTCATATTACTAGAGGCCAGATGAACCTGGCTCTCTCAGTAATTGATTGACATGGACTGTATTGGTTGCAAAGGCTTTTTCAAAATGTCACAATTCAGAATTCAGACAGCCAACGAGGTTGTGAGATCACATATCAGTTTCTTATGTTCTGTAAACCATGTAGAACATTTTAAACTAAAAACTAGAATAAAATAAAATACAGGGTATATACAGGAATCATGGAGTTAAATTTAAGACCTTTTAAAAGACTCTTTCCATACATTTTAAGACTTCATCGCCACTCCAAGTTTTAACCGGTTACATCGGCGACATAATTCAGAAGGGGGGAACGAAGCACAAGAGAATTAATTGAGTGACTAACCAATGACAACAACAACCCTGCATCCAACACCAGCTTCAGAAGTCAGATTTGAATAATCAGGGGTCAAAAGTAAGGAGAGATAACTGACAAGATGTTGGAGGATTTGCTCCTCAACAGATCCCGAGCTCATTGACAAATATATTTTATTGTAAGATGTGCTCCCTTTACACAGTGTGCGTGCGATCGCGAAATCGAAAGTGAAAGTAAACTGCGACTGCAAGCGCTCATTCAAAATGTATTTAAATACCCCACATATTGATAGCGGCACCCTGATGCGCGAAAATGATATACAATATTAGAATGTTTGCGGGAGCGGACACCAAAATCGCGGGAGCGGATGGGAGCATGCGGTAATGGTCAGAAATTCAGCAAGAGCTGGATCAACAAGCCCCGGGCTATCACGCAGCGGCGAAGTCAGTCAGTGAGCGCCGTAACAGATGACGTCAAATCTTGCGGGATTCCATAAATAAACTACACAGAACCCCACTATTCAACCCGATCTCAAGAAAGTGCGTATAAATAGTAAGCCAAATAAAAACAAAAACTAGTGGTATTGATATGCAAAAATGGACTTTGGCGTGTATATGCTACGCGATGGGTAAGA